TTGATTTCAGTCCCAGTTTCCTCCCCTTCACTGTTCGTTTCCTGTACATTTTCCTTTATTTCGCTTTTCATAGCCTTCACTTTTCCCTCTATTTTGCAACCATACTCTACCATTTCTGTGAGCGCCCTGATTACCAGTGTTTTGAACTGTGCATCTGATAGGTTGGCTGTCTCTTCATTGCTGAGTTGTATGTTTTTCTGAAGCTTTGATCTGTTCTTTCATTTGGGCCATATTTTTTTGCCTCATGGTGCACCTGTTACATACCAAGAGGTGGAGCCTTAGGTATTCACCAGGGCCAGGCAACCACCTGGCTGCATTGTGGTGCTGTATGTGGGGGAGGGGTCCAAGAGGGAACAATGCCACTTGCTCAGCTCTCAGCTGGCTTTCAGTCACTTTCCCTGCTACCCACAAGCAAATCGGGCCCTTCTGGTGCTGATTCCCATGTGGGTGAGTTTGTGTACATTCTAGGACCCTGTGGGTCTCTCCAGTGAAGTCTCCTGTGAGGCTGTGAGTTTCTCCATCTGCCTCAACCCCCACAGTTTTTTTTCAGCCAGAATTTTTGAGGCTTTATTTCCCTGAGCTGGAACCCTGGGCTGCATGCTCTATCTTGCTCCCCAGTTGTTCCACCTAGTGTATCTGCCCGCAAATGTGGGACTGCCCAGTACTACAGCCGCCACCTTGCCTTGAGTCCCCTCCATCCCAGCTGTCCATCTCTGCCCCTCCTAGCAGTTTGGATGAATGTTTCTTCTTTAATTCCTTGGCTGTCAGACTTACATACAGTTCGATTTTCTGGCAGTTCTGGTTATTTTTTGTTTCTAAATTTGTTGTTATCCTTCTTTTGGTTGTGTGAGGAGGCAAAGTGTATCTAGCTACACCTCCACCTTGGCCAGAAGTCTCCTTTAATTCATTTTAAGTTAATGTTTGTGTATAGTTCATTGTTTGCATATGACAGGCCCATTCTCAACACCACTATTAAAGAGACTATCATTACCTCATTGTACATTCTTGGCTCCTTTGGCATAAATTAATTGACCATATATGTGTGGGTTTATTTCTTTAATAAATAGCATTTCCTTGAGAGTTTCAAAGATATACTCCTCAGAATTTTCAGAAATGATAGAAAAAGCTAATATCCAAGAATCAATCATTAAAGGCAATTGCGCACTGCTTGGGCAACCCTGGCCTACTGTTAATCCTTCAATACAACAAAGAATAAAATTGAGAGCAGAAATAGATAAATTCTAAAGTCACCTTTAAAGAGGTCAGCCAAATGACTCTTGGCCACCAAAACAGAAACCTAAGAAAACAAGATAATGGAACTGTAATTTCTACAAAGGTACCAATGATTATTGTATACCAAATGGAGGTTCAACCCAAAATTCAGAATTTACTAAAAAAACTAATCAAAAGCAGTCACATGATTCAGACTCCTCTCAGGTGGATAACTATAAAAAGAGTAAATGGAACAGTAAAAGTTCTCTTCTGTAAAGAAAGGACATTATGAAGAAGACATTGTGGAATGAACTATCCAGTGTTTGATGTATAACCACACCCTCACAGCAAGCTGAGTGGGGCACTCAATGAACCTATTCAGTAAGCTAAATACGTCACCCTTCAGGTGGGGTATAGTGGATTTCTAAAGGAGAAGCCATGTTGACCACTGAGATAAAAGTGTACAACCAAAGAAAAAATCAGCAATCCCAGCAGAAAAGATGTGGGCCACATGCAAGAGCCTACGGAAGTGTCACCTTTAGTTCAGTCCAACAGTGTCCCTTAAGCAAGCCAAAGGATTCCAGGAGGAGGAAATCGTTAGTTGGATCTATATTCCTAGGAGCTATGGAAGAATCACCAAATAAAGCCAAGCATAGAGATGCATCCCTCCATGTCAGGGAAGCAGACAGGATACAAGTCTCTCAAGAACTTCTAAAGAACCCACAAGACTGAGTCAGCTTTAATCATGTGGCAGGCCCTGACTGGTGTGGATCAGTTGTTTGGGTGTCATCCCACAAAGCAAAAGGTCAATGGTTTGATTCCTGGTCTAGATTGTGTGTTTGTGTGTGAGTGGCAACCAATCAATGTTTCTTTCTCTCATCGATGTTTCTCTCTCTCTTTTTCCCTTCCTTCCCCTCACTCTAAAAATAGTAAAAATTATTTTTAAAAAAGTCATGTGCCAGTCTCAGGGAGCCACATTAAGAACTATCTTAGTTCCTCACTATTCCTTCTTCCTCTCACTCCACCCAATGTAGAGGCCAACAAGGTCAGAAACAGGAAATCCTAAGACACAGAGGGGAAATACAAAAAGAGCAGAAGCCAATCACATCCCCTTTTCTCATAGCAAGTGGTTGTCAATGAGAAGTCTTAACTGGGAGAAAGTCTTACATTTGAGTGAAAGCTTTAGTGTTGATTAAAATACTGAACTGGATATATTCTATTGTTAAAATGAGTCTGTATTTTGCAATTTCTATTACCTAAGATTACAGCTTCCTGAATGTACCTTTTGTTTCTTATTTATTACTGAATTCCAAGCACCTAGAGGAGTGTTCATCAAACAACTGTTAAACCAGTAACTTGAAAAGTGAGCTAAGAATACAGCCATGCCACAGTGGGTGACCATCAAAAAATAGCTCATTGACTACAGAGGACAAAAGAGAAAAAGAAGGGAAAAAAAGTAAGGATCATCTTTCAAGAAGCTTGGTTGAAAGAAGAAATAAAGTGGTCAACAGTGGGAAGGTTCAGGCCAATCAAGTATTATACTTCTGCACTTTTAAGATGCAGAAGAAAAATCCAATTAAAAGATTTTAAGTCTAATTAGCTTTGCAAATATTAACTCCTTTAATCCTCACAACAATCCAAGACAATGGATAATATTATCTCCTTTCCATAAATAAAGAATCTGAAGTACTCTAGGAGTTTCTGAAGATCCCACTAAAGCAACCGAAATAGAAAGCATCAACTTTAACCAACTGTCAGGCTCATTCACTCATAAGTAAGAATAAAGTAGTGACACTAGAAAAGGCAACAAAGAATAAATTAAGAATAGGTTGGGGTGAGCCTCAGTTAGAAGCATGCTTCATTCTTTTAAATTAGAGGAAAGGAACAGAGTAGGTATGCCTGGCAAACTCTTATCCCTCAGAACTCAGCACAAGTATCATGTACATTGGGAAGTCATCTTTAATTGTTAAAATATGAGAATAAACAAGTTAGTGAGATGCTATGCCCAGGTGATAGCCCTTATTTTTTGGATGGGTTAAGGGTTTGATGGGTAGAGACTGGGAATAGTCTTGAAGACAGGGATGAAAGGGGAAGAGCATAGAGGGATGACCAAATCCAAGAAATTAACTCAGCAAGCATGGCAATGACTCAGCTCAGATTAGACACCATCCATTAAAGCCAGGTTGGGGTTTGGGTAGAAAAGTATAGAACAGGAGCACCAGGTCTCTGAGAGTCTTGATGAGAACAGAACCCAGGGAATTAACTACTGGTTCCAGACTGGATATGGAAGATGCCAGAAGTGGGCTGTAAATTGGAGACCATGACGGGATGAAGAGTCTGGTGATCACAGTCATTGTGAAAGACAGCAAAGAAGTCAGGGAAGTTTATTTGTAACAAGGAAACAAATCAGCCCTGGCTGTTGTATGTAGCTCAGTCGGTTGGAGCACCGCCCTGTAAACTAAGAGGTTGTTGGTTTGATTCCCAGTCAGGGCACACGCCTGGGTTGCAGGTTCCATCCCTGGTCAGGGCATGTAATAAGAGGCAACTGATCAATATTTCTCTCTCACATCAATGTTTCTCCCTCCCTTCTTCTATTTCTAAAATCAATAAATAGTCCTCAGACGAGGATTTAAAAAAAGAGAAAGCAAATCAAAATGCTCTTTTCCAATTTATTGTCCTGGTGACCCCGGCTATCTTTAGTACCTTGAAAATGACTTGCTATGTCTATTTCAGAGTCTTTGTGCTTGCAGTTCCCTCTCTGCAATATGTATGTTTTCCAACAAATTCTGATATAACTGGCTTCTCACCATTGAGGTGACCATCCCAGTTATCTTCCCTAACCCCAAATGCTAAAGCAGTCATCCACTATAACCTGTCCCTCCCTGCCATTACCCTTTTATTTTCTTCATAACACTTAACACTACATGAAATCACATTATTTATTAACCTATTTAATGTTGGTCTCCATTATCCTGCTAATCATTTTACCCTCTGTAAAATGCTCTGTACAAAGCATGTGGCTTATACGGGAACTCGACAGACACTTGCTGAATGAATAAATGAACTAGAGGAGCAAATGTAACACTAAAATACAACTATCTGCTTGTCACAAAATGTGGGAAACATGCAGATGGTAGAAAATGGCAGAGATCTTTCCCTCAAAAAGAGAATGTTGTTCACCACCCATGGGGGCAGGGGTAGGCAGATTATTGTTCCTCAGGATACATAATCAGTATCAGAACTCTGACTTACTGAAGAGCCACACTTCTAACTAAAGGAAATCACTTCCCTCTTAGTGGGTAAGCTTGCAAAGAAAAATTTTAAAGCAGGGTAACGGCTCACATCCAGACTTGCCAAAAGACCAGTCCTGGAAAAATTGTGCCTAAACTCCACTGTGAGCACTGTAAACACTGAGACCAAGACTTGTTTAACCTTGCATCCCCAGCAACTAGCACTTTTTGGCCCATAGTAGATGCCCAGAATGTTTGTTAAATAAGCACATAAGACATGGTTTTCTGAGGAATGGCCATCCCATCAACTCCTACACTGTGAATACACTTATTTTAGAAACAGGGCAAGACAGTTAAAGGAGCTCTAGCCTAGGCCTCTCTCTGGGCAGCAGTATGATTCCTAGAATTCAATATTCATCCATCTTGTGTCACAGGTTATCAAGTATTACTTTCCCCAGAGTCACCATGTATCAAATTTGTATATACTTTGCCAGTATAATAGCTAATACAGTATGGTAACCAAGGACAGATTTCACTTGCCTTTTTTAATTTTTTTTTCCCACTGAGACAGTGTTCTCTCCTTCTTGCTCTCCCAAAACAGAGAAAGAACGATCACCAATGGCAAATGGCAGTTACTAAAGCAACACCAAAAGCCAGCTTTGCACTCAGGAAGAGAACACTCCATCTCTTCTTCATGGTTTCAGGTGCTGTACACGTTCAGAGAAACTTCTCTACTAACAAACTATAGAAATGATCCCTGAAATTATAGTCTTGCCTTTTTAAACTTTTATATACATTTTGGTAAAGAAAGATAACTCAAAATACTGAAAGAACAACTAAAATTGAAGAATTCTACTGTTAATTTTGTATCCACCAGCATATAGCTCACTGTGTGATCCCAGGAAAATCATATCACCTTCCTGACTCTTACTTTCATCAACAATCACAATGTTCTTTATCCAAAGGGTAGTTTGGGAAAAATCAATTAGCTAGCATTTAATACTTAGTTGTAGTGTAACTCTGAGAGCAATGCTTGAAAGATGCCATAGATCAAATTAATTATGAAACAAGGAAGATCATAAATATTAAGCCCACTTCAAAACCTAAGAAGCTGAGATATGAAGAAGATTTAAAATTATGCCTGTGGCTCTGATACTAACTCTCACACAAAGACATATATTCTCAAAAAAAGATTCTTACCATTCACAACAGACCCTTAATATTTGGAAATGTCCACTGCTCCTATACTCTGGCAAGACTAATTTCACATGTATAAAGACAGAAAGTACTAACCGTGACTAGCAACTGAAAAATTATACCTGATCAAACAGTTCAGTGTTGCTGTATCAATGTCTAATCTCAGTGTTGTTCAGGTAACATACAGTCCACCTTATCAAAGTCAATTAAACAATTGTAGTGAGAAAAAGTTTAAAAGGCCACAGCTACTTCTCTGCCCCCTGACTGCTGAACACCGCTAACACTCAAGTAAAAAAATACCATAGCAACATCCAGCCCTAAGGTCCACGCTTTCCTGCCACACGACCGCCTAGCTTCCTTCCACTTTAAAAGTACTTGAACGAGTTTTTGTTTGTCTAAAAACTCTGTGAGACTGAGAAAGACAGAAATTACGTAAAACCCGAAGGTCAGCTCCTGAACCAGAGGCTGGAATTTACTTCTGGGAATGTCACTTGTTCCCTCTTTTGCCTACATGAATGAAGCACGGAGACAAGGAAGGGGGCAGCCTCTTCTTTTAGCCTGACACGCGCACTGCTGAGGACAACGGGCCGGGCCGAAGATCACCAGGGCACCCAGTCTGACCCTAACTGCCCAACCGACCTGCTGCAGTCCCCGGGGCACCTGGGGCTCATAGGTGGGAAGCCTGGGCTGGCGGCGGGACAAAATCTCTGCCCTCAAAGGGCAGGAACCACCAAGGTGCAGGCGCCAGGATGAAGGATTGGCCCCCAAACCTCCAGCAACCACGAAGGCCCCCGCTGCCTCCAGCCTTCTCAAGGAGGTACGCAGGGTACCGTGTGGGGGACAGCCGGGATAGCAGCGGCCGGTACTCACAAAGCCCACTGGAGCCGGTGCTGCAGAACATGGTTCCGCCTGGCCCGGAGCCCCCGCGGGGCGACTAGGGGGAGGGGAAGCACAAGTGGAGGAACCAGAGACCGCGCAGGCGCACTTCCGGCGGGGCGGTGAATGTAGCACTGGATTCCTCTTCAGGGTCCGTCTGCGAAAAGCGCATGCGCGGCCTTTGGGCCACCGCTCGGTCCTCCCCCTCCCTTCCTGCGTGGAAAAGGAAGTGCGTCCGCACCGGGAATATCTACCTCTGCTTGCTTCACCAACGGCCACGGGCGCCCTTCACAGAACACTGGGATGGCGTAGGAGGAGCAAAGGTGTAACTCCTGCGAGCCGCACACTAGTGCTCAGCTCTGCCTGCTTGGAACGCAGATTCTTCTCGAATGCCGGCGGAGTAGCGTTCCTCGCGACCTCTACCCTCCATGTGGAGTGGACACCCCAGGGGTTCCACGCTCGCTCAGTCTTTTGGGGCGTTCCCCAAAAGCTCTTAACAGTTATCAATTATTTTTAAGTGTTAAATGGATCTCAAGCCCAATAGATTTGAGAACTGCTGTAATAGGAGTTCACAAAGTGCTCTGAAGTTTAGAAAAAACTTTTCATTTATGTGTATTCAGTTCTGCAAACATTCTTAACACCTAATGGCATGATAATATGTTATGCAGACCCTGCTGGAAAGTATTTTCAGTGATTCAAACCTTGAGTGTACATATCTACTTTCTTCTTTGAGGACCTTTGCACGTCGACTGGTAGAAAGCTGTAGGTCCTCTAAGAAGCAGGTGTTGTCTTTGGATGGGCAGTAGGGGCTTCATCTGGGATATTGTTTGGACCAGATAGTGCCAGGAACTACCGCAATCCTATTAAATCAGCATTTAACAAGCCCACCCCACGCCCCAGCTGATTTGTATGCACATTAGTGTTTGAAAAGCACTAGTGTTACGATTCTCAAGAGGAGGCAATTTGGGCCTACAGGGATCCCACCAATATTTGAAGACATTTTTGGTGTTGCAAGAGAGGGCTGCTACTGGCCTCTAATGGGCAGAGGCCAAGGCTAAGGATGCCGCAAATATTCTTCAGTACACAGGGTAGCCTCCCACAATGAAGAATTCCCCTGTCCAAAACGCCAACAGTGCAGCAGTTGAGAAACCCCACATTAGTGTAATTCATCCAACTGCTACCAGAAAGGTGCCTGCCCAGATAAGGACTGCCTTAGGCCGGCCTATAGTGGGTGGGTTTTTGACTTGTGTAGGAAAGATTTCACAGCATGAGTTCAGGTGATTTTTGATAGTATGTTCATTAAGGCCAGGGACAGTGAAACGAAGGAAAGACTTAGGGTAGAAGTAACAAGAGAGAGCCAAGACGGGGCTGCTGTTAGCTCACCTGCAGTCAGAGGAAGATGATTCCCTGGAGACAGGATCAAGGGGTAAGCCCAGATCCAGCTGCCACTGCTCAAGAAGGGGCAGGGCATGCTCTAGAGTGAGCCTGTGCTGCATCTTTGTTCTGGGGGCTTTTTATCTTTTTTCTGAGGGTGAGAATCTTAAAGGAAGTGTTCAGCAGAATATTTGTTAGCTTTTCAGGTGCATTTTTTAGTATACTGATGCATTAAAACGAGTGCATAGAAGGTTTTGGGAATATTCTTTGGTGATTATACTGTTTTGTTTTTATCTTGAGTCCGTCTGGTTTTAATGGGTTTTTTGTTATTTATTCTCCTGACTTCATCTTACCTTGAGTTTAGCTGGCACAAATTACATTAATTGGATCTTTCTTCTCTATCTCCCAGACAAGGGAGATTTAATCTATGTATTCTCTGATTAGGGAGAAGTATAAACCATTCACTCTCAAGTGTCCTTGGTCAGAAGAGATAAGTTTTTATGACTCACTAGGTGGCTCTAATTTGCTCAAACTGTTTAATTTAGCTTTGTTTAATTTTCTTGCCTTAGTTTTCCCATTCCACTTGCCCTGGAATTTTCCTAGATTCTTACTGTCCTGTCTCACAATGTTTATCATACAGTCTCAGAGCTCTTATCATCTCTGTTGTCCTTGCCTATATTTCCACCTTGTCTTTTCTCTAGGTTGTATTATGGAGAACTAATTTTGTCAGTTACTAGGGATCATCCTCTGTCTTGCTGTGTGTTGTTCAGTCTGGTTTCTATATTGAGGTAATAGCAGTAGCTTGAAAGGCCAACCCCTTAGCAGAAAGGGAATGTCCTACAAAATGTTTTATCTTAACCCATTTTGAGTCTTGGTGTGAAGACATTCTCTTTCTTTAATATAATAAAATACCACATTTCTAAGGTTTTTGGCACAAGAAGGAAAATCTACAGGTGATTCCTGGGAGAAGGTTGCTGACCAACATACTTGACAAGTGCCTTTCTTGTGTATTTTACCCTTTCTTTAGCAAAGTGTTCCTTTCATACAGCAGAGATAGGCTGGAATTTTTCCTAAAATATTTTTGAGTAGGAAAGGGGTCAACAACAAAACAAAATTAAGAGTTACAAACTTCCAAAATATCAATTTCTGAACAGATGATAGCTATTGTGGCTAAAGCTTATATAGTCCACATCCTTTTCCACATTCTGGCTGAAGAGCCCCTTTCAAAATTCCCAGGAATTCTATCAGCAACCTTTTAGAGCAATCAGGTAGAAGTGGGCAAAGGGGAAAAATTGGGACAACTGTAATAGCATAATCAATGAAATATATTTTTAAAAAAGATTATTTTGTAATATTTGTGACTTTAAAAGGAGTTTGCCTTATCCTACATATGGAAGTTAAATAATATTCCAAAGAAAATAATTTTAAAATATTTAATGTATTATTTAATGTTACATGCAATATTTGTTTCAATCAATAAAAAATTAAATAGTGATATAAAATATTATGAATGGACTTGACACATACTTCATATGTATCAGAATTATTAAATGAAGTCTTTATTTTTATTTTAAAGGTTTTATTTACTTTTAGAGAGAGAAGGAAGGGAGGGGGGAGAGAGAGAGACAGGGAGAGAAACATCAGTGTGTGGTTGCCTCTCACATGCCCCCTACTGGAGACCTGGCCCCCAACTCAGGCATGTGCCCTGACTGGGAATCAAACCAGCAACTTTTTGATTTGCAGGCCAGTGCTCAGTCTGGCACCAAGCCACACCAACCAGTGCTAAATGAACTCTAAATTTCAAGCAAAAGAAATTGATATTATTAAAGAAGAATTATCATGAGATTTTTCCACACACATCATTTTAAGAACTTTCTTACCCCAAATTTTCACATTTCTCTCATCTATGGCAGATAAAACTAGGTATAAGTTATTGCTTTTGAATTATATTGCAAATTTTGATGCTATTTAAAAACATACAATGATTAGTTCTAAAGATCAGTGTGAATGTATGATATCAGACTAGGTAATTAATACACTTGAAAATTATGCAACATATTAGCCAATGTTTACAGGAAATGTTAATTGAGATAAAACATGATTTGCGAGACAAATGTATCATCCAATTTAATTACAAAAAGTTTTGGATTCAGCTAAGGCTTTCATTTGTCCTTCTTTAACATGATAGCTAGTTATTATAGTATTTTCAACTACATATTTAGGTGAAAAGGATTTCAGTGCAGTGGAGCAACAATTTCTGCAAAACCAAGAAAATGCAATAGAACATTTGTGATTTCTTTTATCAGAATCAGAACCTTATTAAATCTCATCAATCAAAATTTAAAAAATATTTTAGCTTATCATCATATGTTTTCGTTTGGGTCTTCTTAAGAGCAGACTCTGACACAAAGTTTTAAGTTTTCTGGGAGTGGTCCTAAGAAAGACCAATGTGAGAATGGGGAAGTGAGACAGGGAAAGGAAAGATGGACGACTGTAGAGATGAACCGTCAAACAAATTAGCTCTGAGTAACTGAAGCCAGTGCCCCAGAGTCATCCCACCAGATGGCAAGGCAGCTGGGGTATTTAATCCATTAACTCCCATCAGTCACTGAGGGCTACCCCTAAGCAGTGTGATTTCCCATCACTTTTGGCCCCCCACGTGAGTGGGCATAGGCTCTGGTGACAGGGCAATACTGTAGGCAAAGAGCAGCAGTTGGGAACCATGCCCTGGACTGAGAATAGGGCACTGACAGTATTGCCTACACCACCCTGCCTATGGTTTTTGTAGCATAATAAGAAAGCTGTGCTGAGAAAATTGCATATGGAAATTACGGTTTGGGGATTTTTTTTAGAGAAGTGATGGGGTTGGTTTGCTTTTTTTTTTTTTTTCAGTCTTCCTCCAGTACCCACCTTAGAAGTCCACCACATCATTTCTGTAGAGCTTTTTTTTTTTTCTGATTCATCTGTTTCCCATCACATATCAAAGGATGTGGTCTCCAGGGCTTACATTCTACAGATGGAACACATGCTCTAACATGGTGAGATTTCAGAAGAGATCAGTTTTCTGTCAAACTTCATCACTACCCCTTCAAAACATGGAGAATTATTTTTAAGCCATCTAGAGGCTCTCATCTAGAGCCTCTCACATTTATGAGACAATCACACTTCCTCATCTTCTTCACCCTGACCGTCTGCTCTTTCTTGGAGGCTAAATCAAGGTTACTTCTCTTTCTCATGTTGCATACAAATATGTTTGGTATATTGGTACCCCATATGTACTCACTCATCTTACACTAGCTTTTATTCTGCTGTTCCGTTTTTCTATACTTCCTGTGTGTCGTCATTTTGGATCTTCCTTTTTCTCTTATATAGAAGGTAGTATATTTATAAGTGAATGCAAGCATTGTCTCGTAGTGTAGTCCAAACACCTACAGATCAGAGTATGTAAATATTATTTTCAGTTAAATGTATTTTGTTTCTTTATATCAAAGTAAGGATGTTATATTGATTATTTAAATTATGTATAGCATGTTTTCCTTGAGTTTCATTTAAGATATTAAAGGCAGAATTACAGAACATTTGTTATAAAAAGGAGAATTAGGTCTCCTAGGATGAGAACCATTTTACTAGATATGTCATTTATGCTATGCATACATTTGACAAACTATAATTTGAGTTCTGAATACCCTAATGAGAATAAGGGCAATACAATCTTAGGTGATCTTCATAATTATGTATCAGATATATTAGACATTTCTTTATACCTTGTTTTTAGGGATATGACTTATAAAAAGGAGACACAGAAGCTTTTAATTATCTCAACATGGCCATACATATTCCATAACATTATTGTTTAGAATATTTATAATTGTACACAAATAGAATTATTCTTTTCCTTATTCATTTTCTTTCCCAAGAGTAATTTTGATCAAATGGACAAGATCTTGCTTATACTACATTGCAGTAATGAAAGTGGAATGGATTCCTACCTAGTCTTCCATTGTGGTGTGTCAATATCACATTCTTCATTTCCTAGCCCATCTATATTGTTTAAACAAATCCAATAGGCCACATAAAAGGAGATATTGTATAATATCCCCCAAAGCCAACTTTATAACAAAGATTTGGGTGCAAATCCCATTTGTCTATTTGAGGTGTCATCCCAAGAAGCATGGTGAAGAACTAGGAAAGTGAGATAGGGAAGAGGGCAGTCAGTAATGAGTGGGTTACAGCTGTGGGCACCTAGAATTAAATTCTACTAGAGTCCCTCAGAGAGCCTGAGCAGAACACACCTCGGAACTATCTCACCAATGGGCATGGAAGATGGGCTATTTGCCTAGCAACTTCCTTTACTCATTGAATAAGGGTTGCTTCTAGGACTTATAACCCCACCCCTGCACTGCTGCATGTGTGGGCCAAGCACTCCACATCCAGAGAAAGCCCTCAGGCAGAGGGGTAGTCATATAACAATTGTCCTCTGAAGAGCTAGGTGACCTCCAAGGGGGTGGTCAGTGAAGAGGATATGCATGGGACCCCGGCAGCATCTGCTGAAATTGAACGGGAGGGGGTCCAAATTGCCACTTCCTCCTATCCTTGTACACCTGGTCCCAGGGCGGGACATCTTTGTGGGGCCAGCATTTCCTCCTTTTGATGGACGTGGCTAGCGATTGATGCTACATAAGTGACTTCTCTTGTATCATGACCTGGCAGCCCTGGATTGTTGCCAAGGTGCAAGCTGGATTTCAGGGCATCATTAAAACAGGAAGGATACACCAAACGTCATAATTTTATCCCTTGACCAAGAAATGTCCACTAATGGAACTGCCCAGCCTCCTCCTATTCATCAGAGCAAGGCCATGCCCATAGATTACTTCCCACCAGATTGTTTCAGCAGAACTGGTACCTTACCTCTCACTCGCTTACTTTTAAGACCTACTCAGAGATGGGAGAATCATTATTGGCTCAAATGCTTAATCTTGCTTATCCTTCTTTGTGGCCAGGTCATGCTGACCAGTAGCACATTGATTTGAATTCATGTATTCAACATAATGT